TTTATGGTTACACACATTCAACATGGACTTTAGTATGATCACAACATAAACATGAAGAGAATATTTTGTTGGAGGGATGCCTTCAAAAAGATGTTTTGCTCAACTGGTTCTAATTTTGTTTTGTTTAATAATCCATAAGTACTAAATACTGGGCAATCATTTATCCTCTCCATCTCTTAGTGATTTGTATGAAATAACAAGTAACATATTGCCAAGAATTGTCTGTGAAAGCCTACCTTCTCACTTTTTCTTCAGTAATGTCTTTTCTGAAGGCATAGATGATTTTCACCAGACTTGATAAAGATTACAAAGTCAGAATTTTGGTCAGAATCTGCTGATGACTTCTCGGGCATCTTTTTGTTTTTTGTCTCTTTTGTTTGTTTGTTTTCTGTATTGATAAATGCATGGTAATCATATCCTTTCTTTGGTATCTTCCCTACTCTGAGATATCTTGAAAATTAAGATCATCAAACTTTTAAACCTATCACATTTCCACTATAACTTTTTCTCATTTGTGTTTGGTTGGGTCTATCTGCACATCCCAAAGTCATCATCTATATTAACAATTCTACTTCTTCACACAACATCCCTTCCCATATTGTACCCATGTTATTTTTATCTCTCATAAGTTTCCTAGGATTAGAAAACGGCCCCATGTATTAGCCTTCTTGGAGGCCGATTCTGTTGTTCAAAGCTTTAGCTCTCTATCTCTCCCATCCATCTAGCTTCATGTCATTTGCAAATTTTTATAAGCATCCACATCACTGAATTAAATAATGATTTTATATATATATATACATATATATATATATATATATATATATATATATATATATATATATATGATGATAATAATAGTTAAACATCATAGGGTCAAATATGGATCCCAGAGATTTCTTGCTGGAGATCTCTTCCTTCCAAGCAGACATGGATCCATTAAAGTGTGACCACTCTTTGGGTCTAGTCATTTAACCAGTTGTTATCTTCTAAACCAGCTGTTCACAAATGTGGCCTGGGAACCCCTGGGGATTTATGCCTAAGACAATGTTGAGGGATTTGTGAGGGTCAAGCCATTTTTCACATCAATGATAAGATATTTTAATTCATAATACAATAAACACAGTTAGATATCCATATAAACAAAAGTACTTATGGGGTAAGAGTTCCTTGATAAAATTTTAAGACTATAAAGGATTTGAGAGCAAAGAGTTTCAGAACTGCTGTTCTAGCCCATGTCTCTCTAACTTGTCCAAAAGTTTAGCTCAAGAGACTTTGTGAAATACTTCACTAAAACTAAAGTATACTATATTTCCTAAGTCCCCCAATCTTTCAGTCCCTTACTTTTATTCCAATACTTTGCAAATGTATCATGGAAATACTGTGCTCTACGTGTGGCTAATGGCAAGCCCTTTTTGTTTTCCTGCCGAGTCTTCCCAAGTTGTGGCCAATAAAACCCATAGTGTGCTCCAGAAACATGATGTGAAAGCTCTGCTTCCTGAGCTCCAGTGGAACGTCCCATCATGGGAGCTGCTCCCAGAGCTCTCCCACTTTTGTGCTTCTTTTAGAGCCTAAATATCCCTGGATATACCTTGGAGACTCAGAGGTTACCTTCTGCATGATGGCACCTTAGGTGGGCCAATTGTTTCCTATTTATGTGGGGGAGCTCATTTGTAGATAATTGTTGACATGCCTCCCCCATTCATTCATGAGCTCCTTGAAGATGGGGACTTCAGCCTTTCTTTGTAGCTTTGGCACTTAAAACACCATTCCTGGCACATCATAGGTTCTTAATAAATGATTATTGATTGACCTTCACCCCAGGAGAATTTGGGGATGAATGGTAGTCATCCTAATAGGAAAGGATTATAAATAAGGAAGCTAAGGACAAGAGAGGCAGGTTCTATCAAATCTAATCCAATGCAATGAAATCCAATCCAAAGAGGAATTCAGATTCTAGGTACTGGGAATACATAAACAAAAAAAACCAATCCTTGCTTTCATGTGGCTTACATTCTACTGGGTGAGAGGGAGATTATATGACTTTCCTGGATTCCTATCATCTACCATATCGAGTGAGAGCCATAATCAGAACCCTGGTGTTCTGGTTTAGAGGATGAAAGGATAGAGATTTAGAGCTGGACACTGATAACAAGTCCCCCCTCCTACTCCTATGATTTCTGTATGAGGAAGCTGAGGCATAAAATTCAAGTAACTTGCCCAGGATCACACAACTAGTAAGACTTGCAAGTGGCATTTGAACCCAGGTCTTTATGATACCAAGTTTACTACTCCAGATGATTTCCTTCTGAGCTTTTCTCTCATTCTTCCTCTGTAGGCAACATCAATTTCTAGTTAAAGAGAAGGGACAAACCTTTAGCCTTCCACATGGCCATTTTCCTACATCTTCTCCTTTCCCAATATTTTCTCTTGAGGGGATAAATGTAATAATTTTTTTGGTGGGGCAATTGGTGTTAAATGACTTGCCCAGAGTCACACAGCTAGTGAGTGTTATGTGTCTGAGGCCATATCTGAACTCATGTTCTCCTGACTCCAGGGCTGATGCTCTATCCAGTGTACCACCTAGCTGCCTGGATAAATGCAATTCTAATACTAATTATAACTAATTGTACTGAGCTGGAATGAAGAACACCATGGGGTCCGTAATTGTGTACCCTAGGCTGCTGCTATGATGGCCCAGAGGATTTATCTGTATCCCAGCAGGTGAATCACCGGGAACTAGCTGAGAAGCTTCATCATCTGTTCCTTCCCATCCCTCTTACCCTACCCATGTGTCCTTTCCAGGATGAAGTGATACCCTGTCTTGGCACTTAGCAGCCCCCCTGCCACATCTGTTTTCTCTAGGCTTTGTTTTGCTGTCGATTTTAGGGACTGAAGGCAAACTGTCTAGCCACTTGGGCGTGTTTAGTAGGGCTCCTTTTAAGAAGACCAATTGGACCAGAAGACCTTGGCAGTCGTTCTGACTCTAAACTTTCTAACTCTACACTCTAAACTTTCTGACTTTAAATTTCAGAATTTGTTTAATCGAGGTGCAGATATCAGCCCCACCTCTACCTTCAGATTTCCCACTGAATTCCAAAGGGTTCAAACAAGGCTCTCCTCACCCCCTTCAATGAATCAGAGCTCAAGTCTCTAGAATATCTAGCTGTCTCCCATGAGAGTTGACAAAAAGGGTGAAGGTCAATGATTTAAAATGCATAAAATTAAAGAAACAAGAAATTAGATTGAAATATAGTATTATACTTATATGCATACTATATATATATATAGTATGTATTGTATGTACATACATACATATATATGTATATATTGTTCAGTCATTTCAATTGGATTCAACTTTGTAAGTATATATATATATATATATATATATATATATATATATATATATATATATATCACACACACACACACACATACATACACACATGTATATATGTATGTATTTGTATATAGCATGTATGCATTACACACATATCTTTGCAACATCTCTTGAATACACCCCCTTTTTCCTTCTGACACTGCCACTCCACGGGCACAGACCCTCATCCCCTCATGCCTAGACTATTTGCCCTTACCCACTGGTGTGTCTGCCTGCCTCACTTTGCTCCTTACTTCAATATAGCCTCCATTCAGACACTAAAGTAATTTTCATAAAGTATAGATCTGACTATGTCACCTTCCTTATTAATAAACTCTATTGGCTCCCTATTGCCTCTAAGAGTGATGTTTTGTTTGGCATCCAAAGCCCTTCACAGGGCCAGCTAGGTGCAGTGGATAGAGCACAAGCCCTGAAGTCAGGAGGACCTGAGTTCAAATCTGACCTCACATGCATAACATTCGCTAGCTGTGTGACTCTGGGCAAGTCACTGAACCCCCATTGTCTCATCAAAAAACAAACAAACAAACAAACAATGCCCTTCACAAATAGCCCCCTTTCTGCTTTCCAGTTTTCTTAAACCTTACTCCCTGATCTCCAGTGCCACTGACTTCCTGGCTGTTCCTGGACATTTCCTCTGGCTGTCCTCCGTGTCTGGACCACATTCCCTCCTCATCTCTACCTCTAGGCTTTCCTTTAAATCTTAACAAAATTCCTGCCTTCTATAAGAAGCTTTACCCACCCTTAATTATAGTGCCTTCTTTCTGTTAATTATGTCCTGTTTATCTTATATATAATCTGTTTGTATATCTTTGTTTACTGTCTCTCCCTTTACAGTGTGAGTTCCTTGAGAGTCAGGACTATCTTTTGCTGTTTTTCTAAGCTCAGTACTTAGCTCAGTGCCTGGCATATAGTAAGTGCTTAACAATATTTGTTTATTGATGATGACATGTAAAGTTCACAATTTGAAGTCCCCTGCTCTATGTGTATGCATTAATATAGATATAAAGATGTGTCAAAGCAGCACGATAGAGTGAATAGGATACTGGGCTGGAAGTTGGAAAGATCTGAATCTGAATCTTACCTCGAATGATTCCTGGCTGTATGACCCTGGGTATATCAGGTCACCTCTCTGGGCCTCAGGTTTCACATGTGTAAAATGATGTTTCTGGGCTCTATAGCTTCTAAACTCCCTTTGCTTCTAGCTCTAAATCTATGACCATATGTGTGTATGTGTATGTGTGGTTCTAGAACATATAGATCTGGAGCTATTCTCCAAACCCTCTTTGCACTGAAACTCTGCTGCTATTATCTCAAATTTCTCCTCAGAATCTAGGAGTAGCCTTGAGAAATTTTCAGTTATTTTTCTAGTGCAATAGCTCATGAGCCCCCACTGGTATGCATCCCAATATAATAATCAGTCAATATCAATTAATTAGCCAGACAATTTTTCAAAAAGTTATTTACTAAGGCAGTGTAATAACAACACTTGCCCTGAACATCCCCACAAAAAAGTCTGTGACATGCTCTTTCACCAAAACAATAAAAGTCTAGGAGAAAATACACTTAAATTTAGGGAGAAAAACAGGCAGAAAAGGTAACTCACAGCTACTGGAAGGCCTCTGGCTGAAGTCATAAAGATGCTTCCCTTAGGTCGGTGTAGTTTTTCTTCATGGGTGCTTGTCCAGGTTATCCTTGGTTCCCAATCAAGACATTGTTATTATTAGTTGTTCTGGAAACACTGCTGGGATGGCAGGGTGAAGGTTGGCAGTCTGAAATCACTCAGTCCTCAGAAGTTCTGGAGGCCTTCTTCTAGCCAAAGGGCATAAGGTGAGGCCAAAGTAGACTCTCTCTACCTCCCAAGCAATTCCTTCTCAGCAGTGACTCTCCTCTCTCTGCCTTCCAGTTAGCTTGAGGCTTTTATATAGACTCAGATGGCTTGACCAGTTTATCTAGTCAATCCAAGCAGGCTTCCTGTCACACCTAGGGAGGTTTCCCAGCCCATGTTCACATCTAGCGAACAACTGCCAGTGATCTGAGCAGGCTGTATAAATAGATCAGACTGTAGCCTGTAAGTACCTTATCATTTACTATATGTAGGCACAGTAACTACCTAAAATGCCCCTCTTGAATGTATATGTATAAATACATATACACACATATATACATATATATATGTATATATACATGTAGACACAAATATATACACACGTATGTATATATACATACACACACACAGACACACACACACACCTATTTATTTACAAGACTGATTTTCTGTATCTATCAGATTGGAATATTCTTACCCTCATACATACAAGAGAGACAGACTTTCCTTTTGAATCTGACTTTTTAACAAAATGTTCAGTTGTTGAGATCTGAGGCAATGTTAAGTAGGAGAAAAATAGCTCAGACAGGGAATGGGATTCCCCTCCAACCACTGTAAGCACCTCCTCCTCATTTGCTTCCTCTTTCTCTTCCTCTTTCTCCCTCCCATGCTGGGACTTTCCCCTCAGTCCTCTTCCTGTAGCCTGCCTGGCCAAGGGGGGGGGGACTATACTTAGACAAGGCCTCACATTTACTCAAAACCAATACTTTCCAGTAACAAACTTGAAGGATAAGTGCAGGCTTAACTGGTAAATATTGGTTTAATCTCCAGAGAAAATTAAAAGCTTGTGGTTTAAGGTTGCCAGTAGAAGACAGATGCAGGAGGAAAAGGGACGGAAAGGCTGGAAAAGTCCCTAAATGTTGCCCTCTTTTCTAGCTTCAGGCAAAGGCACAGGACTTACCCTTTAATTTTCTCTTAAAGGAAAGAATTGTCCTAAACCTAGAAGCCTGGAATAAAATTCAATTAACTCCTCTTCCTCACCTCCCACCCAATCCCCACCCCCTGCTGCCCCCTACTTGCCCCAAACAGAGTCTCAGTCCTATATATTAAGCTATCTCCATAACTTATCTACCAAGGGCCTGGTAGAAATAGAAATGCCGGTCATTTGGACTACTCTTAGTGGAGACTGCCTCTTATAAACACAATATAATAGCATGTTGTGTGACCCCTTTTATTGCAGAATTATAGCTCACTGGGGCATAGTTAGTTGTGCCATGTTAAGTTGCTTTCATCCTTAGAGAGATTGCAGAAGCCTTGCAAAGCACTAGGGCTCCCTCTTAGAAGGCATTGGTTCTGATCCCCTTCATACATCACCAAGGAAAAGATGCCCCAGTTCCCAGAAGCCTCTGAGGTCTCACATTAGACCTTTTCAGTTTTTTATCTGCCTCTTTGCAGAGCTTTGACACAATCCCAGAATCCCACTGAGGCCCACCCAAACCTGAGTAGGATAGTGGGAAGAAGGGAAGATTTGAAATTAAGGGCACCTGGATTTCGATTTGTACATCATTCTTCACTACTCCTGTGGCCTTGTGCAGATGCCTCAATTTATTTGAGCCTCAGTTTCTCTCTATATAAAATAAGGGCCTTTGCAAAGTTGACCTCGAAGGTCTCCTTAAGCTCTAAAACTATAATGCCATAATTCTAGATGTACCTTCTTGCAACATGCTCAAGAACTGGTCATCTGGGCCTTGCTTGAATAACTCTGGTAGGGGACCTCTCATTATTTCCCAAACCTGTCTATGTGAAAGTTATTCAGTTTTTTACCTCTATAGGGGAGGCAGGTCTAGGTGACCAACAAAAGGAAAACCATAATGCCTCCTTCCCATCCCCCACCCACCATCCCATGCTTTTACTCACATTAAGTTCCCCAGGTAGGAAACTTCCACCACCCAACCAGGGTTAATGGGTGGCTCCTTGCCTATGGCCCATAGGCTGTCTCATCCTGCCTTTATCTCTTTTATGCTCCAGAGTTGGAAGGGGATACACCTCCCTGAGGTTGAAAAGTTGTAGGCAGCAACACTGAGAAGTAGGCATTGTTCCATTAACCATGCTCCCAAGGGGTCCTATTCTCTCATATTTGGCAAAGTGTTCCGTGGTCAGTAGAGTGTATGAGATGACAGAATTTCACAGGGAAGGATCTTATTATCCTGGTTGGTGGCTCTATCTTGATTCATTTCTCATTCTGTGGAAAAACTTGCAAATAAAAAAGAGCTATTTTTCCCAGCAATAGGTAACAAAATAGTGGACCCTGGGACAACACGGGCAGGGGTATTGAGTCCAAGAGAGGCAGCCATGTTACTCAAGTCTTTGATTTCTTAGTGTGGATTCATACTTCTCTGCTCACCAGTTAACAGAGAGAGACAAGAGACAGAGGGAGGAAGAGGAGGAGAGGAGGGAAGAATTTGGGGAGATGCAACAATGATGGCTATTTTGAAGTGATAAAGCATGCCTTGGGTGTACCTGTGAGATTTTTAAAAGGAGCTCCATCAGGGTAGGCTAGCTGCACTCATCAATTCTCCTCACTGGAGGCAGAGACCCCAAAGAGGATGTGGCTGAGACCCACCTACCTGTAGAGGTGCCCCTGGATGACTCTCTGGGCTCAGCCCAGAAGCTCAGAGGGCAGCCATCTAAGTTTTTGACCACCCCAGAGCCTGTGAGTTTTGGCTACATCTAGGAAGACATCTCTGTAAGCTCAACCCTATGAGACAGCATGGGAGAGAGAAATGGAGAGAGTGGGAAGGTCGGGGTCATGAGACAGGCAAAAGCCTGCTGAGGTCTGGAGATGGCAGGGACTGCAGAGGCCATCTCATCCAGCCTCCTCATTGTACAGATGCTGAGAGGTCAAATGATCTAAGTAAAGGTCATGTGAGCAGAAGTAGATATGCCAGGATTTAAACTTGCATCTTCTTACTCCAACTGCAGTGATTTCCTCTGAGTTGTGTCTTCCTGGCCTCTGTAAGCATCCGTTATTCAAGAATTGGTTATTCAACACAGTTGCAGACTTCGTGCTGGGTACAGGGGGAGGGGAATGCAAAGATTAAATGTCATCTGTTTCCTACCTTCATGGAACATGCAGTCAGGTCAGAAATGTGATATTTATTGTTGTTCAGTCCTGTCTGACTCTTTATGACCCCATTTGTGGTTTTCTTGTCAATGATACTACAGTGGTTTACAATTTCCCTCTCCAACTCATTTTAAAGATGAAGAAGCTGAGGCAAATAGGGTTAAGTGACTTGCCCAGGGTCACACATCTAGTAAGTATGTGAAGCCTGATTTGAACTCAGGAAGATGAGCCTTCCTCACTCCTAGTCCACATTCTATCCACTGTGCCACCTAGCTGTGATGTACGTACATCTAACCACAATTCATGACAAGTGTGAAAGGAGTATAAAGAAATCATCTGTGAAATCTGAGGAGCAGGGCAGAAGATCTGCATCACCAGGAAGGCAACAAAAAAGATCTCAAGAAGAAGTGATATCTGAACTTGACTTTCAAAGATAGGCAGGATTTCAACAGTCAGAACAGAGGGTAGAAATGATTCTGGACCCAGGCGTCAATAAGGACAAAGTCTTGAATGTGGGAGAATATGGGAAGCATATTTCCCAAAATGGGACATTGGGGTCCTGATATGTTCTGAGATGTAGGGGAGAGAAGATGGTTTATTGGAGATCCATGGGAGAATAATTTCACAAAAATAGAAGAGACAATGTGCAGGCACAGGGTCAGAGTATAAGCCTCTTGGGAATTGGGTTGTTTATCATAACCCCAAGAGTGCCTTGTCCCCAAAGCTCTATGAATGACAATTTCAGGGAGTCTTCCATCCACAGAGTAGCTGATGTAGGATTTGCTGTGCACAATTGTCTCTCTTCTCCCCAGTAGTAAGGATGATTTGAATGGGCAGTACTGTGATGTCAAGATTGTCATGGTGCTAGAAGGTTTCCTTCCACATAAAGCTTCCTTTTACTTGGGTGGCATATTGGGAATTGGCTGGACAGGTAGAAGTACTGACATCTCCATGCCCAAGTACATGTGAATTGAATTATCAAGTACTGACTCTGTGCCCTATACTAAGAGCTAGACTGGCAAAGATCAAAAAGAAAACAATAACAATGACAAAAGTCCTGCCCTCAAACTGCTCACATTCCAAATAGTGATAAGGATAGTTGTGCACAAGTAAATGTAAAGGAATGCAAAGAAATGTCAAGAGATAATCAATGCATTCATCATTTTGGATGCTAAGAGACAAAGACACTGATGCAATTGTCCCTCCTTCTGGGCTTCTTCATGGCAGAACCATCATCTCAGCAATTAGGCAGGCTGATCTGTGGGCTAAGTCAACTGGATTCTACATTAAGTTTAGCACCATAGGACAAGCCCCTACCTCCAGCCTCAGCAAGACCCAGAGACCCAATCTTAAAATAAACAAACCACAATAAGTCCCTGCCCTCAAGAAGTTTACATTCTTTGGGGGGAAAAGATTCTGGTAAACCAGCAGAGGGAGTTCTGAATAATAAAAAGCTGATGATCTTTATAGTTTTTCCATACTTTACATATGCAAGGTATCCCAAAATGCTTAGTGCAGTTTTAGGGTAGCATTTCTATTATTCATAATGCAGGTATTATTGCTGCCCATTACAGATGAGGAAAGGGAGGCTCAGTGAGAAGTGAGCTGTCCATGGTCAAACACCTCATCAGTTTCTGAGTTCTTCCTGACTGCAGGTTCAATACTCTATTCCTTGTCAGACTGAGGATTTATGTGTGTGGGGAGACAAACAATAAAATCTTCCTGCCCTTGTCTATTAACACTGTGGCTTCACAAAAGCCTCCAAAAGCACCATAGATTTAGTGCTGGAAGGCATTTATCAATCACTTGGAAACAGAGACACCAAAAAGTGGTTTTCCTAAAGGTCTGAGATATGAACCCAGGTCCTCGGAGCTCCAACGGAGCTCTCAATTATCAGCTCAAGCTGCTGACCAAGTAATACGACTAAGGCATGTAGCAGCATGAAGGCTACAGACATGTACAAACTGTGGTTTCGCAGTACCTTATGCTGCAAGCCCTAGAACATGGGTCTGGCCACTGTGCAGCCCAAGTAAAGCTCCAAGAATCATTGAGATCATTCTTTGCCTCCTCCCGCTCTGAGATGCCACTGTAGCTCCTGCCCAGGGGCCTTGACATTGTCAGTCATCTCTAGTCCCAGACCCAGACCCAGATTCACTATGCTGCTGCAGTTCTACAGCCATCTTCATGCTATAGTGTCAATGTCCTAGCTGTCCTCCCCCTACTATTTGTCACTTATAGCTCTAGGGATTGCAATCAGATCAATATCACCACTCCACCCTTCCTGAAAAGAACATGCCAGTTAATTGTCATATGACTACATTCACTATCTCTGTGATTTAATAGTTCAAAACACCCCTTCTTGGCCACCAGTCCCCTCTATGCATTGTCTTCTCCATTACATCAAGGATGACCTTGTTTTTTGCAT